TGTGTGTGTGTGTGTGTGTGTGTGTGTGTGTGTGTGTGTGTGTGTGTTTTGAGCGATTCCTTCCTTTCTGGCACTATAAAATACTCCAGGCTCATCTTGTATATTTTCTGCCTCAGTCCTAGAATCAGACATTTCTCTGGGGATCCCTGGTTCCTTTTATTGGAGAATAGTATCGGAAACCAAGATCTGGGCACTAGTCATGCTTGTTGCTACTGCGGTGTTGCTGCGTCTAGGCCCTTCCAGCAAGAGCTGAGACAGAGCAAGGATATAAATGTGTGTATACCACCCCATGTATATAACCATATCTCTAAACATTTCTCTGTGTAACCACCTGTATCTGTGTTAAGCTAAACATGAATTCGTACTGATGTTTTCAACTCGAATCTATTACCTTATGGATTATTCTAGCCTCCTTCCCTTCCTTATCTGTAAGCTGCTACTCTAACAGGGAGAATCCTGGCTTCCACTCTCTGCCATCAGAATTGCTAACCCATACACCTAAGAGAAACAACTTTATCAACTCAAGTTCAGTTGTTATATGCAGTTATTTTTCCCTTTAGTCTTACAGACTCCACTCATTTCCAGGGTTACTTAGGTCAGCACCTTTACCCCAGTCCCCTTAAGTGAGACTGTTTCGTGTATTTGTGATACATGAGATTTTTTTTTTTTTTGGTCACAGTCTGCATTTCATTGTAGGATTTCCCCAAACTTCTAAATGATTTTTGAAATTTGCATATATTAAGGTTCACTTTTTATACTGAACTTCTGTGGGTTTTGACAAATGAATAATATCATATATCCATCATTACAGTATATAGAGTAGTTTCACAGCCCCGCCCCCCCGCAAAACCTTCTGTTTCACCCATTCAACCTCTTTTTTCCCCCTAAACCCTTGGCAACCACTGACTTTTTACTGTCTCTACAGTTTTACCTTTTCCAGAATATCATATGGTTGGACTTATACATTAAGTACCATTTTCAGACGGGCTTATTTCAATTAGCACTATGCATTTAAAGTTCATCCTTGTCTTTCGGTGGCTTGATAGCTCGTTTGAAAAATAATATTCCATTTATGCACATAGCACAATTTGTTTATCTGCTCAGCTATTGAAGGACATCTTTGCTATTTATACTTTCTGACAATTAGCAAAAAGGCTGCTATAAACCTATCTGTGTAGGTTTTGTTTGGAAATAAGTTTTCAAATTAGTCGGCTAAATATCTAGGCACGCAATTGCTGGATCATGTGTTGAGGCTATGTTTAGCAGTGTAAGAACTGCCAATCTATCTTCCAAAGTGGCTGTAGTATTTTACTTTCCCACCAGCAATGACTAAAATTTCCCGTTGCTCCACAATCTTGACATTTAGTGTGGTCAGTGCTTTGGATTCCAGCTTCTCTAACAAGCTTGTAGTGGTATCTCCTTGTTGTTTTAATTTGAAATTCCCTAGTGGCATATGATGTTGGGCATCTTTTCATATGCTTATTTGCCACCTGTACATCCTCTTTGGTCAGTTGTCTGTTTAGATCTTTTGCCCATTTTAAAATTGGGTCTCTGATATTTTTATTACATTTTTTCTTGTTTAAGGATATAATTTTCAAAAAAAATCTCTTTAAGGAAATTAAATTTTTCTTGTACAGTTTTCTTTTGTTTCCTGAATTTCTCTCTTTCCTCTGGAGTCAGTTTTACTATTTCTTTATTTGAGTTTTTTTACTTTCACATCAAGGGTTTTCTTCAAATATCCAGTGAGTCTTAGTTTGTATTTTTTCCTTTAAATATTCTTTTGTGGAAAATAAATAACACATACCAAAAAAGAAAATATGAAACAGAAATGTTAAGCTGAATGAATTTTTATCCAGATGAAGAAAGCAAACGTTGCCAGTATTATGCTAGAAGCCTTCTGTATGCCTCTGTCTATCAGAATTCTCTAACTTCCTGTCTCCCTCCCCAACCAGCTTATCACTATTCTGACTCAATATAGTCATCTCCTTTTTTAAAAAAGTAGTTTTTACACCAGGCAAATATGCACCTATAAATACTGTGGTTGAGTATTCAGTCATCTTTTAAAATGTGAAAATAAGGTAATGTTTTAAAATACAGGAGGGACTTCCCTGGCGGTCCAGTGGTTAAGAACCTGCCTTCCAATGCAGGGGACGTGGGTTTGATCCCTGGTCAGGGATCTAGGGCCCACATGCCACGGGGCAACTAAGCCCGCACACCACAGCTACTGAGCACACGGGCCACAACTAGAGAGCCTGCATGCTGCAACTACAGAGCCCATGCACCACAACTACAGAGCCCACACACTCTGGAGCCCACACTCCACAACTAGACAGAAGCCCATGCACCACAATGAGGAGCCCGCGTGCCACAGCAGAGGATCCTGCATGCCGCAGTGAAGATCCTGTGTGCCACAACTGAGACTCCACACAGCCAAAAATAAAATAGAATAAATAAATATTTAAAAAACAAACAAGCAAGCAAACAAAAAACAGGAAAAGCTATAGGAATTGGCAGAGCCCACTGACTGGCAGGCTTTGCTTTAGGGTCATGAGGCAAGGGCCAGGCTTTGCACTGGGAATGCCAGAATGAGGAGAACTTGAGGCTGAGATTCCAACATATAACTGCCCTAACCTTCCCCAGGTAATTTATTCAGCTTCTTTACAGCAGAAGAACCCTTCTCATGACTGTCGTGGTGGTATTTAATGCCTTCTTCTCTGGAGGGCAGCACCAGGCCTCTTGCCCAGAATCCTCCCCTAGGTCTCATCCCCTGGGAGTTGGACCTCCTGCCTCCTCTGCAATGACATCCTGAAGAGACAGTTCCTGGTGAGAAGTGGCAAGCAGAGCCCAACAGGCATCTCATCTTCTCAAGGTTTGGAGCACGTGTTCAATAGGATAGCCACCCCCTTCAGAGTCCTGGGAGGGGCAGGAATATAAACTTCCTTATACTTAGTCACTTTGAATAATGCTTTAGCAGGTTCAGCCCAAGGGTTGGGCACCACAGACCCAAGCAGCAGAGGCATGCTAGCTCTTTAAAAGGCGTCTCCCCCAACTGCCAAGGAGGCCAGCCTCAGCCTGACATCTCTGCCCCATCTGCTCCTCTACCTGCCTCTCATCTCAAGGGTTCCCTAAATTACCAGCCTGGCTGTGGGGAGCGCCTCATGCTATAGCCTGTTATACAGTCGGAAGTAGCCCACCCTTTGTGCAGAGGTCTGCCCTCCTCCCCCTTTACCACCCAGCCCCCAAAGCTTTATATTGTCCAGCACCTGCCTAGTAGAAGACCAGGAATGTGGACTGACCTCCCACTCAGGGCAGCTCAGGACCTCTGGCCCCAAAAGTCAATTCCAGTGGCAGGGGTTCACTCAATACTGGTGGAACCATTTGTCCAAGCTAATGAGGCACTGGAAAGACTACAGAAAATAGAGTACAATATGGCACAGAGCGATGCCACATCAAACTGAAGTGGAGATGTTCCAAATTTTGAGTCCCAACCGCTTAAGGCTCTCCAGGATCATTCTGCCAATTGATTGTCCTACTGACTCAGTAGACCCCATATCAATTTCTTCATCATTTCCAAAATCCTACCTTTCCTCATCACCCTTGTAGTGAGCTCAAGCACCTGGGGGGCTGATCAAGAAAAAAGATATGATCCTGAAGTAGCAGTAGCACACAGCAAGCTTGATATGTGACACGTGGGAAGTCTCTCACAGCCTGAGACCATCTACATGCTACAGAGGCTACTGCACAGGGACCACCTCCCAGGAGGGGAAGAGGGCAAGAGAATGCTAAAGGAGGAGAAGAATTAAAGAGGGGACTTATGCTTCTAGACAGTGTCGCTCAGCCGTGCAATGGAGAGCATCTGGATCAGAGATTTCTGGGTTTACTTTATCTGTGGCTAGCAGATGTTGGGTGCAGTTTCCTGGGGTATGCAAAGCAGAGAGGCTCTAAAGAGCTAAAACTCTGTTTGTTAGGGCTATATTTAAAACAACTGGATGTGTGAAGTTTGAGTTTGGCACCAGCTTTAGAGCTTACGAATCCTAGCCTGCTATGAATAAGTAAACAGCATAGGATCAATATACAGAACCTATCTTTGGCTTAT